CAAAGCCTTTGACTGCATAGATCATGAAAGGCTATAGAACACCCTTAAGGACATGGGAGTGCAAATACTTTGGATAGCCCTGATGAGGAATCTGTACTCAGGACAAGAGGCTACTGTCAGAACAGAACATGGAGAAACAGAATGGTTCCCAATTGGCAAAGGGGTCAGACAAGGCTGTGTCCTTTCACCCTATCTGTTCAACTTGTATGCAGAACATATTATAAGAAAAGCAGGCTTAGACACAGAAGGAGGAGGAGTGAAAATAGGAGGAAGAAATATCAACAATCTAAGATATGCAGATGACACCATAGTACTAGCAGAAAACCTCACAGATGTGGAACACCTACTAAGGAAGATCAAAGAAGAAAGTTCAAAGGCAGGCTTAAAGTTGAACAAAAAGAAAGCAAAAACAATGACTGCCAAGAACCTTCACAAGTTCAACCTAGACAATGAAGAAATAGAAATAGTAAAAGAATTCCTATACCTGGGATCAAACATTGATAGAAATGGGGATTGCAGTCAGGAAATGAGAAGAAATCTAAGAATGGGGAAGTTGGCTAGAACTAGAACTAGAAAAGATTCTAAAATGCAAAGATATACAACTCAGCACAAAAGTTAGAATCATACAAGCCATCGTATTCCCTATTACCATGTATGGATGTGAAAGCTGGGCAGTTAAGAAAGATGACAGGAAGAAAATCAATGCATTTGAAATGTGGTGCTGGAGAAAAGTGCTGAGGATCCCATGGACAGCCAAAAGGACAAACAAGTGGGTCTTATAGCAGATCAATCTGGGAAACTCCCTGGAAGCCAAGATGGCCAAACTGAGGTTGTTGTACTTTGGACACATCATGAGAAGGGAGGACTCATTGAAAAGGACAATAAAGCTGGGAAAGGTGGAGGGAAGTAGGGAGAGAGGAAGGCCACATGCTAGATGGTTGGACTCTATTAAAGAGGTCACAGTTATGGGGTTCCAGGAATTAAACAGAGCAGTGGAGGACAGAGGGTCTTAGAGATGTCTCAACCATAGGGTTGTCATGAGTCAAGATTGACTCAAGGGCAGTTAACAACAAACAAAAGTTGTCTTTATGTTGGGCTACATTATTTACATATCTGTGACCAAAGTAGATACAAGAACATTCTGGGAAATAATAATTATATTAGCAGCTTTTTAAAGTAAAATAAGTATAACTCAGTTAAGGAAGCATATGTGTTCTTGAGTATTACAGCGGGCCCTCCTTATCTGTGGACTTGCCATCTGCTGATTTGAGCACCAGTGGGTGGCACGCACTGCCATTAGGGACAAAAGTTCCTTGCTCCCTCCTCCTTCCTCCTCACCTCCACCCTCCTTCCTTCCCCCTTCCTCCTCCTTCTCCTTCCTTCTGTACATTCCTCTTTCTTTTTCTCTTTGCCCCGGCTTGACCTTGGGGGTGGAGTCTGCCACCCAGTCAGCTGGGGCCAGAGGCGAGGCCGGTGCCAGTACCAGGCTGGGGCTGGGGCCTGAGTCTCGGAGGCACCCCCCCAGGCCCTAGGAGCTGGGACAGAGCTTCTGGGCTCCAAAATTCAAACCGCAGCTCTGGCATTGGCTTCTTCTGGCCAACTGGACTCCAAATCAATTCCAGGAGCCCCATTCGCCAGAGGGAGCCAGTGCCAGTGCCGGGGTTTGAGTTTCAGAACCCAGAGGCTCTGTTCCAAGTGCTAGGACTGGGGATGGGGCTCCAAAACTCAAGCCTCAGCCCCAGGGCAGAAGCCTCGGAGGAAGGTAAGGAAGGAGGGAAGAGGAGAAGGGAAGGAGGGAGGGAGGGAGGAAGGGAGGGGGGATTCCAATCTCATTCTCTCTAATAGTGGCACAGCCACGTGGCTGCACCACCATTAAGGACAATGGTACTCGAGCATTCACATATTTTGGTATCTGCTGGTGGGTTCAGAATGGATCCCCCACAGATACTCATGGCTCACTGTACTTTTTTAACAGAAAATTTGGTACCAGAAGCAAAAATGACATGAAAAGAAAAGAAAAAGATTCCTACACACACACACACACACACACACACACCACACACACACAGAGAGAGCAATTCAATATATTTCAGTGAATGGTTTATTGAAAACTAATAATAATATTTTCTTGTGAAATGTGACAACAAGGTCAGATAAGACTTCCTTAAATAAACAAACACATTCCGAAGCTTCTATAGACAACTTAAAGGTTTCTGCCAAAATGCATTTGGGGATTATTATCCCCCCCCCCCATTAGCCTTCATTTTTTTTGTGTGATTTCCATTTTGGTGTCCAAACAATGCTTTTCTAACCTGCTGGGGATAGCTAATGAGGCAGGTTTATCTGCTTTCACCATTGCTCTATGCTTTGCAATTCCTTGCATGTTTAGTATTAGTTCCAGTAGGGCCCCACCCATTCCAATTTCAAACTTTGCTTACTGCATTGTTTCCTTCAGACAAATTTCTGCAAACAGACATTGAAACCTGTGTTTATCAAGCCTTCCCACACTAGGTCCTGCACCCTCCTCTTCCCAGTTCTAATGGAACCAGAATTGGGGGTATCAGTCTGTACGTTCTTTCCTCCCTCCAGGAGTTTAATCCAGACTGGGTCATCCACACTTACTGTTTCCATTTTGAAAATCCATTCATACACTTGCTGATGGTGTGAATGGTGTCTTGTCCAGTTTGCCCCTGAATATAACTATGGTGATTATTCATTCCATTTTTAACATGCTTTTAAACAAAAATACTCAAGAATCATCTTGCAACTTTAAAACATTCAAAACCTAGAAAAAAGAAATACAGATACAATGTATCTACCTGCAATTTAAAACTGCACTTTCTTCAATAATACTAAATTAGAGGCATAGCTTTGTTGGGCCTAAAGGACAAGTTCCTTGTGCTCTACTCTTTGCCAGTGCAAAGGGTACAGATTTTACACATGTTGTTCAGTAGCCACACTACTTAAGGGCAACCTGTCAGCAAACTAATTTTATTAGTGATTATGGGAAAATTTCTCATCCAAGGATTTACACACTCACATTTTGAAAAGCTGGAATCCTAAAAGGCACATTTATTTTAATATTCTAAACCATTTACACCATTGACTCATCTCCATCCTGGCAATTTATAGAAAATGTTTCTAAACTGATTTAAATGAGAGGAAACAGAAAGAATGAAGTCTTGCCACCCCAAAAACTCTAATCCACTACCAGTTTTATTGCATTTACATTATTCTTACTTCTCTGTTATCTAATTTTGAAAACATACTCCACTTCTTTGTCACAACTACATTGACCAGGAGATTTCATAAAATGAGTTGCAATCCTGGTGCTTTAACACTATACAATTATAGTGCTATGATTTCACTTAAACTGCCATGGCTCCATCATACTGTGGGAGTTGTACTTTAAGGGGGAGTATTTGGAATTCTTAGCCAGAGAATTGTAGTGCCTAACCAAACGACAAACCCCAGGATTCTACAGGATGCAACTGTGGTAGTTACTGAATAGTAGTAATATACCATATATGCTTAGCTATAATTTGACCTCATTTGTAAGTCGAGGACAGGTTTTGGGGGAAAAATTATGGCTTTTGATATGACCCATGGATATGTCAATGGTAAAACTTAGGGGCTTGTAACAAAGGGTCTAAAAATGAAGCAAAGAAAAACAATGCCAAAGAACTTACAAAATTCCAGCAGTCATAACTGTTTGTGCTCACCCTAAAACCTGGATGGATGAGAGAATAGAGGGGGAGTCATTGCTTCCAGAAAAAATCACACTTTTGCC